GCATTTTGGCCTCATCAACATACTGGAGGGGATATTCATTGATGTGAAGTGCAGAGGGGTCAGGTGACACTTGATTGGATTTAGAAAAGGCTTATTAATTGATCAAGATTCTCCTGAAGCTGGCTGTTACACAAATAAGAACGATTTTCTGCTATAGGATCAGGTCATCGATATACACGTATTTTCAACAATTGGAATGTGTTGTTATTAAATATATAGTACCTTTCACACAGTTCACCCTCAGTCTTTACCAAGCTTAGTTTTGCAGTCTTGCGGTGGTAAGAGAGCTCCTGTGGTACATTTACTTTGAAAAGGACTCATGTGGCATGTTTGTACTCGAACTCTTTACATTGTAGGGCCTATTACATAATTTCTTCATTCAGCGATATTTGTAACTATTTCTCGATGTTTTCATCTTTGATGTCTACTCTTGACATCTTAGAAACTGTCCTGTTATTCTGCCTGTTGGTTGTGACAATCAGTATCTAACATTAGACCAATGCCGTGTCCAAAATGGCCTTGCAGAGCTACAAATGGGTCTATTGCCTATGCGTATTTCCAATGGAGTGAAGACCTAGACCTAGCAGATTCGGGGGCAGCCAAATGAAATAATGAAAGGAAGAACTGTCTGACCCAGTAGCACTTTTCGAAATATGGCAGACGTAATGGGAGGGCATTAGTTTGAAGTCATGGTACTTGACGTGGAGGAAACACAAAAGATTTACCCAAACCAAATTGCACCCTCCTATTGTGTCAGCCATAATGCTAAAACAATGAGACTAATTAGCTTTAGCAAAGGCAATGCAACTCTCAGTTTGTCTTTCTATTGTAATGATTGTGATGGTTCTTTGGGTCGTACGCAATTGTTGATTTTGTTTACAGAGCAGAGTGATTGGAAAGCCGTTGACGAATCGACAAATAGAATGACTGACGAATAAAAAAAAAATCCAAAGTAATTATGCAATTACCCTGTAAAGACGGATGATTTAACTAAACTGCCAACTGACGACATATACATTAACCTTTTACCAGTCAATCAAGAAATAGATTTGTATTTTCCTCGTATCATTTCAAGATGACGACGAATGCCTTAGGATGGATATCCAATGCGAGCAGATCTGCACAAATGTACACGGATCCTTCCGGTGCGACTGCGAAATGGGATACCAATCGTCTCCTCCGCATGACTGTCGAGGTAAATGGTATCATTAAAGTTTACACTGAACTAAAGAATTAAACAAACATAAGAATTGTTGGGAATTAGCCAAACCGAAACCCCAAAAGACATCCATCGTTTTATTGTACTGACCTCGTGGTAGATTGGGTTTACTTCAGATTTGATATCTAAGTGGTAAAGTGGTAAATGAATTGTACCAAAAGAATTTGACGTAACCCGTACCGATTGGCGACCGGATGAACAGCGGTACGGATGCAAAAAATGGCTTTGTCTTTAGAAGTGGTTGAAGTTGTTGTTTTCCAAATGATCATGCGCTAATTGGAAATGCTCAATGGTTACCAAGCAATTCACCACGAAAAGTTCCCGCATGTTTTTCGACAAAAGCTACCAGGTGCTTTTGCCCTAGCGAGGAGTCCCAGCGGTGTAGCGGTCTCGCGTCATGCATGCTTACGCTGAAACGTCTTTGACATTTCTCTTCACTGTTTGCATTGATCAGACATAGACGAATGTGACGAGCTTAATCTTCTCGATGACTGTGATCAGATCTGTATCAACGCCGTGGGCACATTCTACTGTTCGTGTAATGCAGGCTACGAGCTTGGAATGGATGGCAAGACATGCATTGGTAACCATATAACTGAAGTGTTCTTAACTTTGTGTTTAAATAACCATAAACTTCTGGACCCATATTTTTAAAGGACATGTAGGATGGCTGGAGTGGGGCACGCGGGGCACATGCCCTCAGCGGATTCTTTTGCCCCCCCCCTTCGTGCGCCCCATTTGAAATATCCGTTGAGCTTAGGCCTATAGCTATGCAGTTACAGCTTATTTTCTTGTCTTGCCTCCCTTGGAAAATTGGTGTGTACCCCATATGCCCCACCGGACATTTAGCCCTAGTTACGCCACTGATAGGATATCTACTGGGGTCGAAGAGACCGGAACTACCATCACATTTAATTAGTTGCACTCTTGTGTAATATTCCGCAGTTATACGTGATCGAGTAACAAATGGTTTCATAAGCTATCCTTCAAATGATATTATTTCATTTACTTCATTCCGCCAAAAATGGAAAATCTGCTGTTAAAGAGTCTACTTGCAATTTTTCTTTTTGTTTCAATTTTGTATTATTTATTTATTTATTTACAAATCTGGGTAGTTTTTCTTCAACAAACTTATAGGAGACATTTTTACCTGACATGTAAATGACAGAATTTGTGAAAATTGTTCTATTGTTTACCTCTGCCAAAATAAGAAACCCGATGCTGCTTTTTTTTCTTGGCAGATGTTGACGAGTGCGCTCCGCCCATGAACTGTGATGTGATCAAAATCTGTGAAAGCGGAAGTCAAAATATGAACTGCTCTTACGTCGACGGTCAGTTGATAGACGTCAGCGGATGCGAAGGAGGTACAACGTTCAGTGAGACTCTCGTGCCGTCCTTAATAATTGTACTGCCCTCAGTTTTGCACTGGATTTTAGTTGCGCATTTTTAGGTCCCATTTTTTTAATAAGAAATAACGTGCTTTCGCTGACTACGTGACCTGAACCACACCTGCAGTGGTCGTGGGAAAAGACTTTGGCAAGCCGTCAAAGTTGTGAAGAAATAAAAGAAAACAAACAATGCCGAGCCAGCACCAAATGTAGTATTAAATATCTGTAACATTGGCTATGTGTGACACCATTTTAACCTTGATAAACGTGAGTTTCTGGCCTCTAAAGAAGATATTTTGTCCTAAAATAAAACCCCTTTTTCACCTAAGCGGGTATGTTTTGCGTGTCCTTTGGTTGTTCAGGTGATGACTGGTGCTCGAGGCAAGATTACAATTGCACCGAATTGCAGGTCTGTCAGAGGACATCGCTGACCCTAACGTGCGCCTGCATTAATCGAGATGGACACGCCCTAACGGAGATCGATTATGACCTGAGAAGTAATATTTTACGCTGGCCTACTGTAATTAGATTTCTAGAAAGAGGTTATTCAAAGAGGGGAATACATTAATTTTTCCTCGAGATCAAGAAAATGTTCCTGTTTTATAATTGTGGCCGCTAAAACACCCATCCATACACGTCGGCACTCTTACATTTGCATATTCAAAACAGCAAGACAAACAGGGCAAGTACAAAAGGAAAACAAACGCAGCATCTGTGTGACGTGTTTCACCTGATATCCCTCTCAGATACTAGCAGGAACTGTACTGGCCAGTGATATTGGCTACAGCGGAGGTGACAACTGTTCATTGTTTGAAAGCCTTTACATATCGCAACAACTGTTTAGGGGCTTCAGTGTTTTCACCAGGAAGCGTGGCAATGTGAAAGTCGCGTGAAAATAACCGAGGAAAACGCATTCAATTAGTGATTTGAACAACTCTCTTTGAATTACCCCTTATTGCTTATTCAGGGGAGCTGTCCCCCCACCCTAAAATTGACATTAAATTTCTGTACGAAACCAGTATTATCGTTTCGGGATCTATTACACCTAAAGCAATAACTTTTCATCTATAGACCAACTTACATTGAGATAACTAATAAGAATAATATAATTAGACCGGTAACACTGCTTCTTGGTTGCGTCAGTAACTCCAAGCATTTTTCTTCCCATGGATCCTAAGGCACAAGCAGTTACGACAACCCGTCGGTGATAAGACGCTGTGAGAATGTGAGCGAGTATTTTATTTGCGTCTCGGTCTCCGGCTATGACCTCGTCATCGACAACGAGTTCTGTGAGGGTGAGTTTGTTTTGAGAACTTTCTTGTTGGACATTTCACGCTCTACCGACGTTATAAGAGAAACCGAGCGGATCAAAGTCGAAGAATAATCTCAGTCCGGGCTAACTAAAGGTGGAAACTCATTCTGCTTAAAAGAAAGACTAAAACCATCGTGAGATCAAGGGTCAAGATTCACATTCGTGTGGAACAAGATGGCTTTTTGTGTCATCGCTATACGGAAAGGGTCAAGCACAAGCCGACAAGAATTCCCCTAACGGTTCGAGTATAGACATTTGTCTATCATTTATGTCTATTAAATGTGCATCATAAAAGACACACACATTACTTGTTAGTTCGTCAATCTTTCGTCGTTTTGACTATTTTGTTTTGAGGTTTTGGGAGGGCCTAAGTTCCCCCTCCAGATCCTGTGCCCATTTGCTTTGTGTTTCTCTTCTCAGAACTGAAGAAACATAACTGCACAGACATGGAAATCTGCAGGAACACTGTGGGAGGCTACGAATGTCCTTGCAAGGAGGGATACATCCTAAACAACGATACTCAGATATGCGACGGTGAGATTCCACCCGAGTGAATGAGCGTCTGTGGGTAGTTGGAGCACATGGAACTCGGTAGCTGAAGTCAGCTGACGTGTCAACCACGCGTGCATACATCATCATAAATGCATAGCTGAATAAACACGAACTCTTGGTCCTGTGTGGTGTATAGCCCATTTCTGGACAAAAGAAAAATTTCTCTGTTGTCAAAATGACACCAAATGACCGGGAAAGGATCAGCCCGACCGACAGTTTTAGAACAATGCACTTATTTGTGGCTGGTAACCTTTTTTGGAAAGTAATGCAATTCTGTTGTGAATTAGAAAAATATTTTCTCACCGCCAGTCATTCAGTACCAACGAAATTGGCCTCTCTGCTACATAAAAAAGCACTTGCAGTCCACACTCGTAATAAAGTTAATGAAGGCAAATAATTACGTGCTCTTTGTGATGGTAACATGACCAAAAGCTGGGCTCATTTTAACAGCCCATGTCCAATCAAACCATGTTGCCCCTGGTGACTTCCGTTTACTGCCATTCTAGGCTTTGGCTCAAGTAGGTTGGGCGTGATGTAAAAGTGCTCATGTTAGGGAAAGAAATCCCGCCTTTTCCAAGATGCATTTTATGCTTCGTCGAACTGTTTCTCTTTAGATATCGACGAGTGCTCGACTGACTACATGAACTGTCCGGAGGGGGAGGCCCAAGTCTGTAAGACAAGTAACGGCACCATCCTGTGCGAGTGTCACCAAGGGGAGGCTATCGTGTGTGAAGGTAAACAGGAACCAGACGATAAGGCATGACAATCGCCGTGCATCATGGGATTGAGTAAAACACAAGCCATGCATTGAATGCATAGTACTTTGGAAGAAGTGTACCACTAAAAACATTGACCAGTGTCGAACTAATCACTCGAAAATAAGGTATCGTTTTCTTCACGCAACCTTTCCATCAAAATTGTTTAGAACAATCAAAATTGAGAGCTCACCAGAAAAATGAGAAAATAGAGGAACTCTCTGGCGAAGATTATAGCTTCTGCCTTGGACTGTGATCATCAATGTTAATGAGCAAGTGCTGGCCATTAAGAATGAGCGTTTGAAGCTCATTCATCCCGCGTTGAGTAATCGCGTTCCTTTTTTCAGCCTACGTCGCTGGTGTCTTTTAGTTTGCTGTCCATGTACAATCCTGTGCAATGTTTTACACTGTACTATGTCAAAACAGGTGCCGCTCGCATATTCCGGCAGCAAATAACGTTCTAGTGATAATTGCTCATTAAACGTTTTTCGAATCGTGTTTTACCGACAGGCAATTGTACCGGAGGATGCACTGGCATAAAGGTGTGCTCTGAAAACGTGTGCACCTGCTTCACAGGATTCTTTCTAAACAGCGACAACAAACCGTGCAAAGGTAACCATAGAGTTGGGCATTAATTAACCTGAGCCATCAGATTGAATACAGCTACATGTGTAATAAGAACTGATCGGCAGGAATCAGTCTATATCAGGCATGTGATGTTTTTGTCATTAGTGAAGTTGGCTGAAGTGTCTGCGTTACAGATCCTCAAAATAATTACTTTAAAATAGTAAGAAGCAAACTTGGCAAATGTAAAAAGGAGAGTTTCATGAAGACATCGCTAGGCATTTGATCTAACTCTGATGGCTGCACCAACTTAATTATTCTCAGCCTAAGATTTAAACATCACTCTTTAGAGACCACAGCAGTTCATTCTAGTCGGAAAATATATCTCACGGCTTTCATTTTGGTTGAATTGGGCAGTACGAGACTAATGCATCTCAATCGGGCGGTGTATAGAAAAACTCTCCCTGTAGTAAAATTGCAAAATGTGTCTTTTGTACACGCGGAAGATAAATTTTTTGGCAAGGACACTATCAAATATGTGACGACAAGTACATAAAGTGGCTTTTCGGCGTGCACCTGGAGGAAATTCCGAGATCAGTGCGCAATTCAGTATTAAAAAGCAACTGACGTTTCTAGAGATTGTTTCAATATGGCTGTTGTTTTTCCAGGTGGGGGATGTGGCGAAATGATTCACGATTGCACCGAGATGGAGAACTGCGTAAACACGATCGGAAGCTACAACTGCACATGCATGGACGGCTACGTCAGGGACGACATCGTGAACGGAACTTGCAAAGGTACAGGAATCAGGCAGATGAGCCCAAAATATAGTTATTCCTTTGTTAATTATAAATACTGGTCAAATAGTTTTTGATACAAAATGCCAGTTTTTCAATTTTTGGAGCGTTTTTTGTCATTATTGAGTGGTCTTTCTGGATGTGATTGTATTGGTTTATTGTTTATCTGGTTTTGATTTCTTGCTTTGTTGGTTTGCTGAATATGTCTGATTCGGTGGTTTTGGTCTAGAACAATTTCAGATGAAATTTTTAATTATGTAAGTGCGGTATGGGGTTGAAGCTTGTTTCTCTTACGAATGTAACTTTTGATTTCTCGCCGTCATTAGTTTAGTAAAATGGTGGAAAATCTAGGACGTACGTACTTCTGAGCCATTTTTTCCTGCTCCACAACCTACAACTCTCTAACAAGCCACACATTTCTAAATGTTTGGTCACTGGTCTGCGAAGATGTAAGAAATCGATGTTTCCACTCAGAAAATGGCGTGTTTTTATTCATTCTTATCAATGCACCAATAAACTGCTGTGATGTGTTTTTCTTTCTAAACTCTAGACGTGGATGAATGTGCAGAGAGGACAGACAAATGCAACCACCTGTGTATGAACGAGGTTGGCAACTATTCCTGCTCATGTGTGGAAGGTTACTCACTGAGTGGGGACGGGTACACCTGCTTTATGCGAATGGGTCTCCATGGTGAGTGTTGTCATGGCGGCTATCAGTACGCCCACCGTTGGTTGCGCAACCGTTTGGGTGAAAGATACCAGGGCTCAACGTGATCTTGGCTTCGAGATAGGAACTGTTCGATGAACGGTTCACACGCCAGGCGAATGCCAGAGCCGAGTGAATTTGACGTGACGCCTGTGATTTCATCTGACATCACAAATCCGCGTTTTGATTCGAGCAAAACACGATATTGTACATTAAAACACTCCATTGCTCCACATTCAACCGACCTCCTCTAAATGCGCCTTAAGGTCGTCAGCAAATCCAAGAGACCTTTTGTGGCAACATTTCATTTTCCACTACTGAAATTGAATAGGTCTACGCCACCCGGCCCCTTTTTAAAAAGTATAGGAACCGAGTTTGACTGTCAAAACACAGGGCTGATCTATGTGGATGAATTTTGCCACGTACTTAGCAATGTCCCTGTGTGTGTTTATAAAACGTGCTCCTTTTTAACAACCTTCCGCTCTAAAAGAATAATCCCATTACAAGGAGGCATGCAGTAACTACTTTGAGTAAATTAATAAGTTAAAAACTAACCTGTTCAGAGTGATCCAAAGAGTGTTGTTAATTTCCTGAGGCGAAACCTCACCAAGAGATAAAGCAGTCAAAGATCTTTCTTAACTTCGAGCGACTAATTAATTTGATCTAAGCTCATCTAAAATGGTGCGTTTATTAGACCAAGAAATTTTAACGAAAATTTACCAGCACCTCTCCAAACTACCTCTTTACAAAATGTTTTGAAATTAACCCTTCAAGTTTAGAATCACATTCCTTGGCTTTGTTTCCCTTCGACAGGTCTTTCACCATTCTTATGTCATTTTGTTTCCTTTTCCCCTTCCCTCACTTTGCATTTTTAGAGGCCTACATGGCGTTGTCTCAGGAGGACGCACTCGATCAACCGGTACATAAACCTTTGTGCTATTAAGATACACATGTATCACGTGTGTTTTCTTCTCTTTTCAGTCCTTTTTTTTGTCAGAAAGTTTCAATTTTGAAAGTTTAATTAACTACTAAAATTTGTAATCTTTAATTTTGGTTCATCAAAGGGAAAAAGGGATAAAGCCCTCATTTCAAAACCGTTTTAAAACTGTCTTATTTAATGCGGCATGCACGTCACATTACACAGTAATGTGTTACCAGCGAGCTTCTAACGTAGAATTTTGCTTTATAAGTATTTTGTAACAGAGGTGGGTAGCCGGATCGGCTGAAGTGCGAGAAGGACTTAAAGTATTGGGACGTACGTTTCAGCAGTTGAGAAGTCGACACAAAATCGTGCGGCATTGTAACATCGCTTGTCAGTTCATTATCACGATTGGCTGATGCACAGTCACGTTGCAATCCATCACGTGCCACTCTTTTGTCATAGATTGCGCGTCCCTGCAGATGAAAAAAAAATGACGCCTTTAATATCAGTTGAGTTTTTGTTTATTACTATGGACGCAGGACCGTCAGCTACTTACTCAAAGAAGATATTCAAACTAGGAAATAGTGAATTTGTGTGGTTTTGCTCTGTATATTGAAGGTCGACATGACAATGTCGATGAACGGGGTGGCATGGTGGCTGTTCCCGCTAGGGATGATCTGCGGCTTTGTCGTCATCGCTCTCACGGGTAAGATCTTAATGCAATTTCACTTCAACTTTTTTTAGCTCTCCGCCGATGCTACTGGCACCTGGCATGTTTCCAAACACTTTGAAAACGTGAACACTTACTTCTGAACATTTAACAGGATAAAATACAGTGACTGGCTTAAAAGTTCTGTTTGTCACTCAATATTACTTTTATTTCTTTTTGGTTACATTTTAAAGCCATTGGAAGGGCAAAGTCTGCACGATTTCGACGAGGGACGGACGTACCCTTGAACGGTGAGTAGGCTTACGCCATTTGGCAAGTCAAGCAGTAAAACTGGCAGAAAGATACAAAGGCCGTGTCCAAATAGGGCTTTCCCAAGCTATGGCTGGGTGTGTCGTCTGTGCATCTCTGTGTAATTCCAATGGAATGCAGACCTTGATCTAGCTGTGGACAACAGATTCAGATGTGAATATACCACAGATAACGCCAAGCTCTAGCAAGAAAGGACATGTTTTTTTCTTAGCAATTGGGGCTCCTTCAGAGGGAACTTCGTTTGGCTGGTTCACAAACGATTATGAAATGCTCGCGTCGTGGTCGCATTGCTACCAACAAAATGACCAAATTCCAACAAACACACCTCTTTTCAACCGATGGCAGGGGGTCTTTCTGCTTCGAGCGGAAAAGTAAAGTATGGTTGCATCCCCCCCTTTTTGTTTATTTCAAGTTATTCCCCAAGCCAATGTTCTGTCCGTTCTGTTTCTGTACTTGATATCTGCAGCTTTCCGCTCCCTTGGTGGACGTGTGGCAACCTCGGCGTCTGGGCTCCGTAGCCGCTTGTCCAGTCGCGGCGGGAATCGAGAGTCCAACGTGTACATGAGTGCTCCTTCACAGCAGCGGGACACCAACGATGGAGACCAGATGGGCGGCGACGCCATATACACGCCCAACACCGTAGGCCAGGTACGTGATAGGGTCACGGGGCCGGTAGAGACAGACGAAGGCGACGTGTACGAGGTTCCAACTCAGAGTTCGCAAAAAGCGGTCAGTGGCCAAGGTACACTGGAGTTGAATCCTAAACAGCCGCTGGGCCTTGTGCTTGACAACAGTACGGCGGATGATGAACCGCATTATCTCTTCGAGGAATTCGGTTCGCCGGAATCGATGCCCAGTAATGATCCAGGGACGGACCTCTATGAAAGTTACGACAATCGACCAGCAGCCGTTGACGACGAAGAGCTATATTTAGATATGCACTGATGCAGTTGGTGCTCCAATCTTATGTGCATTTGATATCATTGCAGCCTTCAAATCCAATAAGACACGATACCTGAAGCGCAAAGCTCAGTATTGATATTTGATGTATTGGCAGCTCACATTTTAAATGGAATACAAAACCTTTGGCATGATTTAGGTCGGTTAATATGATTTTATAACGGGCATTTTGCTTCTTCCCTTTGCACTCTCCGTTCAATACCCTCGAATTCCAGAGCAATTTTGAACTGAGATGTAGGTTTTAAGGAAGAGATTCCCAGGATAGATATTATATATTAGTTACCAAGATACCCCAATCGTTCAATAGTCATCACATATGTTTTAAACAACCATGATCTTAGGTCGGCTTTTGATCCATTGCAGATGTGATTTGGCGGGCTGTGGCTTCGATGTGCGACGGTACGGTTTCGTCTTTCAATAACACTGGAATTGGTACGTAGCTTAGTTCTACAAGCCCGCACTTTTTCAACTAATGTTACAACCAGATGCAATGTAAGGCGCACATGCTTTCGCACGTTAGATGATATCTATGGCAGTAAGACCGCTTGTCTGTTCATTATGTTTGCTAGTTTCTCTTCTAAACTAGTGACACTTACAATGTAGTACACAGATAATTTATGTAGTTACACAGGCAATTTACGTACGAAAAAAAACCGCAGTCTATGAAACGATGTGCTCTTTTAATGTTTATAACGAGGCATGCGATTTAACAAAACACCTAATAACGTTTGTGTTGTCTTTATGTGTCTTACGTAATATTGTGAAATGACAATTAATTGGTTCCTTTGTCCCGATGAGACACATGGATGTACAGTCCTATTCACGTATGTGCATTTTGACTGAGAATTAGACATGCTACATTTGCAATTTTATACAGATTTATCATAATACTCATGATGACTTTCTTGTAATGGTACTGCATGTGCATTATACTTTTGGTGTGCTGTTATTTGGGATTTTGATGTAGGTTTAGAAAATATTTTACCAGTTAACGCAAATACCAAACAAATTACGAAAACATGATAACTAAGGACATAAAATGAAGTTAACACAGAATTTGGAGAGATGTTCTTTCTGGTTTAACGAATGAAATGGGCACGAGGCCATCTTTTGAAAACATTATAATACGGTTGGACAATTCTTGAAACAAAACCGCAACATAAAAGTAAACATTTCAAATAATCCATTATTTTTCTGCGTCACACCTGTTTTGTTTATTTTTGTTTATTTGATAGCCCCAACGTAGAATATTAAATGTTGGTTAATCCTTGAAACCCGAAAAAACGGGCCTCTTTAAGGTGACTGGATGGTCGAATGATGGAATCCAAGGGACCTGAAACAGCTTCAAATAATCATATTCCCTCTAATCCTCTTCGAAAACAAACTCCAGGATCAAGAGGTCAAAATGCCAATCTAACTCACTGGCCTTGAGACATGTCAGAATTGGAGGCTGTAGAGAATTGGTCTCTCCATGAATAGGCCTAATTGGCCAGGCGCGCAAGCTGCAAGGCACCGGAGAAAGCTTAATACATAGAAGCCTCGTCACCGAAGTGAGCATAGTGCTTCTAAATTGTGCACTTGCTGCAGCTGGACTGCTAATCTAATTTTGCTTGACCCTCTTCCTAGTTAAAGCCTGAGTCAGATTTCGGATCATTCTGATTCTGCGCGACAGAAGTCTGCATTCAAAACTAAAAAACAAAAAAAAAAAAAGGAATATATTTGACTTTTGGTAGCAAGGTTCGTCTCCCTTGTGATTCCATTGCAGTGGAGGAAATTTATAATACATATTTAAATCCATTGGTTTTACACCTTGTCAGATATTACATATGATATGTGGATAGGTCGTGGCGGATCCAGCTAGGGTGAGGTCTACCTGCCCCCAGGGATCATGTTCCAATTTATTTATCGATATTCCTACATTTACTATTAATACGACGAAACCGTTTCATATCTTATTTCTTTTCGAGAAATTCTTCTATGTTGAAAAAGTGGACAACTTTTCCTCAGAGCAAAATCCTCACTATGGTTCCACACCTCGTAGGACAATTAAAGGAAAAAACATAGGCAATTCACTGCAGGTAAGGCTTGGGTCGTCCCAGTACTCAGGTGTCTCGTCACTGTGGCATGACACTAAGACGGCACGGCAAGAGAAACAAACAACGTAACATAGCGACTTCACCAAATTTCTTTCGACGATAGTTGGCTACATAGTTGTAGGCTTATACGGAGGAAAGGTTATTGCATATTGAAAAAGTATACATGTACTTATACCTTAAAGTTGATTATGTTTTGTATATACCAAATTAACAAAGATACGTGTAGTTTGTAGTAAGCTCTGTCTGTGTGCAGGAACAAAATCTTTAAATGTGGATAATACACGTGTTTTAGTTTTACGTCTGTATGAAATCCAAACACATGAGCACATTTTTGACTATAGTGGAATTCGACCACCAGAATTAGAAGCCATTACTGCGGTGGCACAACGCTCGAGGTCAGGTGGTACGTGCGCGTTACTTGCCTCTTCGACCAATAGGGTGTCATGATTTGCCAAATACACGCGCGCGTCAAGCTGAAGAATGTGCGTGTGAGTGCGGTGCCACCGCAGTTATGGCGTCTAATCGGATTAGTCTATAGGGTATCAGAAGCACCATTTCTGCTTGTTTTGTTTCAAATAGTCGACTTTTGGAAAAGCGTCTGAAACAGGGCATTCAAGTTTAAAACCGATATTCACCACATTTAATTGATTATGAAGATGGTGGTAATGATTACAATTGCTGAACTTTAAAAAAATTGAAAAAAGGAGTTTATGTCCTTAACTTTAATGACTCTCTCCTCGTGGATTTCGGCAAGCAAATATTGGTATAATTTAAGAATGGTATAGGATCAGGATTGAATGGTTTGAAAGACGGCGCAAAACACATGTATTAACTATTAAACTATGCAGCTCAGAACAAAAAATGTTTTATTGAGTGTATTTTTTACAGTGATATCCTTTGCCTTTTTTATACCGGCTATCACCTAGCACGCATTAGTCCTCATAGGAACAAATGTTATTTACATTAAAAAGTATATGTAACGCGAATTTTTTTTCTGACGTCCTATGAAATGCACCTTTTGTGTTTCTGTTCGCCATAATTTAATTTGAAGACTATTTCCAAAAGGTATTTTGGTCCCTCTTTAGTTTTAAAGTGCAAGGAAATGTCTACGTGATGCCATACTGGGGGGAGGTCAAGCGTTTTATTACGTCATGCATGAAAAATATACTTTACAAAATCAGTAATTGAGTATATGAAAATATAGGTCAATCAGCAACCCGTATCAGAAATGTTTTCAAAGAGCAAATTGTTTGCTATAAATTAAAACATTACAATTTCAAACTGGAGGCTTCTCGGGATGACTTCTCAGTAAACATACAGTACCTTTATACCAGCAAGGTATCTGAGTATGGTTCCTGTACACTATTTGAAAACAACACAAAGCAGGCCTGGGCTATGGAAGATGTCCTTCAAGTTGCAGCAAGTGCAAAAGCAGTGCATCGCGAATAAGCGAGAAACATTTGTGAGTTTGAAGACAGAACTAGGCCAACTTTGTGCGTGCAGAGTCAAGAGAGCTTGCAAATCTCACACCCTTGAAATTGTTTGGCCCTGCGGGCCGTAAGGGCTGTTTGCTCTCTGCAGGTTGGACCACGAAACTTCAGAACAAGGAACTCAAAATCACACCAAAAGTAGACACTGAAAATGGCAATAAGACACGTGAGGAAAGATTCAAGACACCCACAAGTACACGAAGGGCCTACTTGGTGTTGACGGCTGTGTCCGAACTGCGAGTTATTACCCGAAATTATTCAGAATTAGGTGCAGGTAACAGACGAGCAGTTCGATGAAAGCGCCCTCTTTAGATTCTCTTTAGTGACCCGACTATTGAACCGGTTATTCGAAAGGCAGCCTTTGTAATTACACGTCTTTGAGCTTTCTCCTGGTTTTGTACCGAATGGAGTGATACTCAGTAACTTATTGGGAAGAAAAAAAAATGAACAACACTTAATACAAATGTAAATATGGCATCATAATTTTACCCGCAGAAATTGGGAACAATGGGGATTATTTCACTGAAACCTTTGTAAAGAGGGCATTACCAATACAACGCACGAGACATAATTTAGTAATTATACACAATGCACTGTGCATAACTTTCTGTGACCATTCCTGAGTTAGAGACCCAGCCATGGCGTTTCCAGCCGGGGTCGCTTAGATATATTACAGTTTTATTTTACGTTTATTTGTCTGTTTGTTGTTTGTTTTTGTTTATTATTAATTTGGGGGAATTGGAAGCTCCACCACTTCGAGAAACTATTGTAAATGTACCAGGCACTACCAATTTCCTGGAGGAGATATACGGACTGTTTTAGATGAAAAAAAAAAAAGAAATTACGATCATTTTAGAAAAAATAAAGAAACAAAGAAGAGGTATATAGCGTAAATTCGTGTAGCAGTAAGGAAGAAAACATGGTTACGAAATGTGCCGCTAAAGGTTCCACCTGAGCAAGACAAGAGCCTGCAATTTATGTGAGTCTGTGACAAGGTTCCTAGGCAGAATATTGGCCGTCTGACATTTGGATTTAAAATTCCGTATAACACTTTAACCTCAAAGGCCATGTCTTTTCTTTCTTCCCTTTGATTCCTAATTCCACCCAGTCTTTTGACATGCACATCTAGTCATCACAGTTGAAACGGAGCATTGAATTGATGTTATTTTAGCAGGCTGAACATTACGAGAGGGGGTTGTTTTCTTTATTCGAAGAGCCGCTCTGCAAATATCCACCTGCCCAGCGTACCTGGTACATTCGCATTTCCGGCGAAGATCATTGCAACATAAACTGCAGTCGGGGTTCCTATAGGCCTACGCTATCGGTGAAGGCACACAGCTTGGAGTTGTTTCCCGGTGCTTTTGCGTAGCAACAATCAAACGGGAAATTTTCAAAACATGACTGGCCAAATCTGGACGAGTCCGCGTTTCGTTGGGATCAAGCTTCGGGACCACCTCACACTATCATAAGCGCCGGGCGTACAGGAAGATACGCGGGTGAGAACTCAAAACATTCTGAAGGAAGGGGTCGCGTCAGACCTGACTTGCGAATCGGGAAAGTAACATCCCCCGCGGGCGAGCTTGATTTTACCCTCATCCCCATTTTCGAAATTGCGGGCGGCTCAAACGTGTGGCGCAGCACACACTCAAACCCGCAGTTTTTGAGATGGAAAATAACTTCCCTGAATTATAAGACAATCTCGCTTGTCTTCTTGTCGTGAATCTTTGACGTTCATTGATGCATCTAGTCCGGGACAACCTATATGTATAATGAGTTAAGTTAGTTCACTTACTATAAGCTACTCGATCCTACAAAGCATGCAGCAAGCTGCATCGCGAGTCAGAGTTGGCAGACGTACATAAACGCACACACAGCGCCCCTGCTAGTTTAGTAGATTATATTTATATAGGAGCATTTTTATGTATGTAAAGTGGGCAAACAATGTGCCTTGGATGGAAACAGGATTTTCGCTTTTGGTTTGTTATGAGATTTTCCCGTTTACTTGGGTGTCTAGGAAATTGTGAATTTCAAAAAAATTGTGAAATTGCCAGAACACAAGTTGTACAAACGAAGAAGTTTCACTTGCAAAACAAAGTAAGACTGATAAGAACTTTTAGAGATGACGTACGCTCAATGTGCTCTGCACACCTCGAACACAAGTGCACGAAAAATATGAGATCACCAACTGCACGATAAAAAGGCATTGTTTGTTATTGTAAACAACAAGTGTTATTCCATAAAAGTACGGCATGTCCCCGTATAACTTACAATTGCGTAATTTAATCACAGCCCAAACAAGCTTCCATGTACTGCCAGGGAGGAAGGCATCCAGGTCGGCCATGATATTCCTTTATTTCAGTAAATACCCCAGAATAAAACAAACGCAAATTCAGGGAATACGGTGTTGTTTTGAAGTACGATTTCCTCTCAATGAGCTTTTTGTTTGTTTTGTTTTTACAAGATAAAACTTAATTGTTGCTTTCTTGTCCTCTCCTGATTTCAACCAGCCGGATGATAGATGCTCTGCGTTTCTACCCCTCCCCCAGATCATCACGTTGTTTGTTTGGTTTTGGTTCACGTTTCCCCTGACGTAATGCTGCGGCCTGGGTTTGTGCCGGGGTATAAAACCCAGCGCCTGGCGCGCGTCCTTACATTTCTCCATAAAGTGGACCAGGACGCCGAATTGGAGAGACTACACTTTGAAGCCGGGCCATCATCACGCGCACAGCGGCAGACTACACCAAAGAAGAGAAGAAAATTAGGTAAGTAGATTCCTTTCACTCTAAAAGAAAAAGTGCGTTCAGCTTTTAAACACAACTTTGCTAGCACTTTGCAAACACGTTCGGATGCTAAACATTTAGTGTCCAAGTTCTAAACATCAATGTCCAGTGGCTATTATAAAATCCATTAAAAATCCAAACTCGCTTAGCACTTCAACATATTTACAAACTGATAGCAAAAGAGTTTTTAGAGAAGTGTTTACACACAGTGTTTGTAGTGAACTGTACATTATTCGTAAAGCAAGGTATCCATGCCAATAGAGATTGTCTCATAAGACTGCAAATTAAACTTAACGAAAGCGAACAGAGATGCAGAGTGGAGCAACAATTTTTTTTCAGTATTCCAAGGAATAGGATGCGCAAGAACAGTTATCAAATACTGCTGTGTATAAATCAAAGCCTGGCTTGTGTCCCCGCCCCCAAATGTGCCTTGTGCGCGATGCGTGAACAAGAGAGGGATGTATGTAAACCTTTGCCATTATGCTGCCATGTTTGTCTTGTTCCATGTATCCCCTAGGCAATGGCAAGTTAACTTTACCTCAGTTTGGTTTACATTGCTTTGAATGGTAGTGAAAGCAAGATGGCTGTCCCATCGTAGAGATCCATACTTGTTCACAGAACGCAAGCCCTTTTTAACGGAGTTCTAACAATTTGAATTTGTTTGCTGACATAAAACGAGCTAGAAGTAACTCCTGTCCACAGCGAACTATGCCGGTGGAATAGGTTAACTGTGACATTTTCCACGCTGATCGTATGGGTTTCAAGAGTATTCGCTATGAACATTAATAGGGAATTACAATGAAATGATAACATGATAGGGATTTTGGAATTTCGACGAGCTTTCAGTGCCGTGTCATTTTAAACCCGCAAATCCAAGGTATTTTGTTACAAATGCAATATCTGTATACCCCGTGAATTAGAAGCCGCAAACTGAAGACCCCCCCATGTGGTCTATATAGACACGTTTTCATATTGATCTCGAGATCCCTTCGATATTGAATTATACACGCATAATAGTAAATGGTTAAATTTATTGGCGAAAAAGTAACCTCTTCATTCGAAAGGCATGAGCAGTGATGTAGTCGAGCACTTTTTGAGAACCAAGTTCTCTACCAAATATTTAACTAGTTAGGAGGGAACAAAGCTGAAGTACATCGGCAGTTGATGGTACATGCATAAAGGTAAGATTACAAAGCAACATAATGACGTCATACTATCACTGTTTGATTAAAATTAACTTTTTAGGACAAAAGTACTCGGAAAGTACTCGGCCGAGTACTTTCCG